AGCGCTGGTGCGCTTTGGGAAGACAGGAGAGCGGGACAGTTCAGAACAACAGAGAAACGGGAGATACAGAACCCGCACATGCGCGGACATTGTTCTGTCTGCAAATGTCCGACTCGTGAGAGCCATTTTTAGAGCTGAGTCTTCAACTGATAGCGCCGGCGCTTCATTTGGTACAAGGCGGGCAACAGCAGCAGTGCAGCCGGAGACGGTGCACATTTCGAGGGGCAGTCGGCTTAATGTGCTAAAGGAGAAAGAGGAGAGGCGTGGAAGCCTAACTAAGTTCCATCGCTCTTGCGAACGATAAAAATAGAGTAAAAATCAAAGAACATGAGCAGCAGAAAATTTACATTATCACAGTAAAGGTTAAAATCGTGGATCCGTTGGATATTTTTCAGACCCGAGAGCGCGCAGTTAGTCCAATTCACACAACACCCCACTTATACATTTGGATGTAAGAGCACAATAATTTCTTATTCTCACCTTGCGCGCCGCTCGAGCGCTCTGAAGCGAGAGCTGATATACCAGCTGTTCTGGTAGCTGTCCGTGTGGACTCCCGGGGGAACATTTAAACAGTGCGCTAGTGTCAATTAGAAATAGACGTAATACGTTTGAAAGTGTGAATAGATCTACATTACTTTCCTGCTGATTACTCACGGGGCTAGGCATGACGCTCCGAGAACGAAGAAAAAACGACGTGGCTTTCAACGCGGCATACTGTATAGAAAATTAAGCATCGCGCTCAGTGGTCTTTCAGTTTGGCGCAGAAAAACAGCCAATCACTGCAGAAACACGTCAGCGATGCTTCCTCGCAGCTGTTCGCTCCGGAGCTAGAGAGGCGCGACGTCGACAAAGCGGAAGACAGACGCTGAGAAATCACGGCGCACCCCCTTGACTCGCCCATCTCCGCCTTCTCGGAATTACACTTCCGTTGTGCGTAAGTCAATACAATCATACCTTTTTCAGAACGCAGTTTGAAAAATCTCAATATCTTCTGCTTTAGTTCAAAACTGTTGCCTTCGCTATGTAGGTACACACAGCTATTACGGTCACATTTATGAGATATTTCTCCGAAAAGGTTTGTTAGTAGTAAAAATCGTGGTTTTGTCAAGCTAAAGCTAGTAGCAATCCAGTTACCTCACGCTGTTCTTTTTGCTTTTAGAAAAGCATTATATTAACAATATCGTATGTAACTGTTAAAAAATACTACATTTAAGTTATTTCTGAGACAGGTTGTTTCTATATTACTATTCTTTCTTCTTTCGTTTTCTTTTATAGTTTGCAGCGTGAAATTTAAGATGGAATTACAATATCACTTTTTGAATCTTCCTCAAATACAATTTCTATTCCCAAGATTGTGACAAATTATGCATGACCAAATTTCTAAAACGGACAAAGGCACACATCTTATGAAGGAGATATTTTTCAAACATTCCAGGTGATGTAATTTTTAAAAGGATAATAAAGAAAAAGGCTAGGAAATTGTTTACTCATACAATAATATTTTTCAACAAGAAATTCTACATCTCTAACAAGATTATTGTCAGCAGTAGCTAATGTAGTTCCATGATTACCAGTGAGGGAAGATTCACAGTCAGACAAAAACGAGAAGCTCATCATCTTCAGTTTACTTTAGTGTAGCTAAAATAGGTTTTCTTTGAAAGAAAGGCCGTTAAATTTGCAATCTTGTTGCCTATAGACTCACTCTCATTTTTTTCACTGCACAGATAACCTTCCTTTCAATTAAACCCAACTGTGGCAAGGGAATCTCATGCTCGTGTGCCGCTGAAGGCATTGTGCTATCAACTGTCTCTTCTATACCAAATAGCTCACTACTTACTCTGGCTTTAAACTGTGCCCTTTCCTCTATCCTGCACAAGTTACATTGCATATCATGGCATCGGCCTAGACAACCAGTAGACCTTGAATTCAAAGTGGAGACTCGAATCGGAAATGGTGATTTTAATATTTGCTAGGGAGTGCACCAATGCTACCACTGATATGTGTAAAAAAAATCCACAATTGAAGACCAAGTTTAAGAATGTGCCAAAAGCACTCTTTACAAACCTATCTTGGGATTTTTGATGTGAATAACATCACATCTGACACAAATAATAAATATAAACCACCATATATAATACATTTGATATTACCAGTAATGCACATTACTACAATTATATTATAGATATATATATAATGCTAAACAATGACTCTATAATGTACAGATAAAGAAAATTAATTATAAATTCTATATAGGATAAATTATGATAAAGTTAGGATGATAAAGACTGATACTGAAAGACGTATAAGGAATAAGGAAACTTTTAATATAATAAACATATTAACATACACTTTACAAATCAACGTCAAGTTTAGTAAAAATACACGCGCATAAACCAATCTTACAACCACATCATTTAAGTTAAGTTCATTTATATAATAAAGGGGTGGTAGTTAAAAAGTCTTAAACATCTTCACATCCTTTTTGAACGGAGTGTTTTTAATAAAAAAAAAACGTATATTTTGCACTTCCTATCTTCTTGTTTGTTGTCCTTGCATGGCTCGAAAAAAACATATTCATCAATGAGCGGAAGTCTTCTCATAGGGCTTGTTTTTCAACTACGCACAGTGCTGTGCCTTACTCCAATAAACAAATTGGATGCAGAAGCTGAATTAGACTCCCAAAATATCTCAAAAACCTCTATAGAAGAAAATCGACAATAATAGCGTAAGTCCTCATCTGTTACACAAAATTGTATATATAGCACTCGTCTTTAAATGTTTAGTTAATGTAGTTTCCGCACCAGACATAACACCTTCTGCTCCAAGTCCTTAAATTTGGCATTGCAGCCCTGACTACTTGTCCCAAGAAAAGAACAACAATATATTAAGCGTTATAATCCCCTCATTCATCAAGGCATTGATCAAAAAGTCATCCATCATCAAATTAGTCATCTGGACAGCTGTTCAAAATTTACATCTCCCTTTGACAGGATTAAGCGTGCTAACAATTTCCTGTTCTCAAACCAACCAATTATCCCAGAGATCCCTGTGACAACTTTTTAAACTTGCCTAATGCATACGTTGCCGTATGAATACTCACCAGAAAAGCTTTGTGTAATCATGGTTCTGAAACAGCCTTGGCTACAGTTCCTTGAGTGCAGCCACCATCTCTCTCTCAAGCTCTTCCGTACAAAGATCTTCGCACTCCACTTCATCCTCTAAACATACGGTGCCACTTGTTGCCTTATCCTTACTTCTTTATCCTTACTAACAACAATATAAAATTGCATTATGTTTACAAACTGTTCGAATGATTATTGAAAAAAAACAATAGGGCCAAGTGAGTCACCTAATTATTTTGAGATAAACAAAAGTTATTCATTATACCTTTTGCTGGCCATAGGACACAGTCACAAACTCGACACACAGACACTCACACACACTTACCCCATTTATTCCAAACAAATTTGATGGCACAGAATTCTGGACCTTCCTCAATCCGCCGTTGATTGTAAGGTCATCTGGTCCAAAATTAAACTGCAGACATCACTCGCGGCCAGTTTTCCACCTTAAAATTTGGACCCTCAATCTCCTCCGAATGGCCCAATTCCATTGGCACTTCTACAAACACCATGGGGAACTCGTGGAAACGTATGTAAGATGTTTTCTCTTGTTAGCTGAACAAAGAGGCACACAGCATGATTTTCTGGATGTCCGGCCTTTGCTTCACCTTCTGTTTCCTTTTTGCTTTTTGTATTTACTATGTTGTCATAAGTTTGTCCCTTTTTTGTATAAAAAAAGTGATGAGGTGAAGTACCTTGGACAGTACATACAGTATGCAGTGACCTCACGGATGACCGGGAAATGCTTAGATAAAGGTGAAAACTGTATGGTCTGTCTCTAACTTGCTGGTTTGGAAGTTTTAATATGTACTGTGAATGTAAAAGCATTTTTGTGTGGCTTTTATACACACTGTGGCGGAGTTACAAGCAGGTCCGTCTGCAGAGGTCAACAGTTGCCTCTGACGATGACTATAATGAGGATGCTGCTGAAGATCCCCAGATACAGTAGTGCCAGATGTTCGCTGAGTGCAGGGTCCTGTCCTGCTGCCCTGACACATGCTACTATAAACTCATGTGTAGAGTCATGGGGGTCCCTAATGGTATTGTACAGTGTCTGGAACCTTTCACTACACAGAGAAGCTTCCAGACACACAGAGGGGGCTGACTCCAACTCTCAAATAAAAAAAAAAAGTACACTTATTATTGCGGCAAAATATGGAACATAAATTGAAAACTATTGCTGTTTTTTGTTTGCATCAACCAGATTATGATGATGATGATGGTAAAAATCAAGAATGTCATGTGAAAATTGGAATCTTTTAGCAGTCCCTTAAATGTAGTATTGATAATGGGAAAGGCACATATAGCGTTTTACTTCTGCCTTCTCCTTTTGAGCTTTGTTTCTTGAAACTATATGTACCTTAAAAAAACATTGTGAAAATGCTGAAATAAACTATTGCTACTGCTACTTTTTTTTTCTTTTCTTTGTGCTGCTAATGGACACCTGAATTTCTCCTACGGGATCAATAAAGTATCTATCTATCTACTAAAAGCAAAGGAAGGTTTCTCACCCATCATCTGTACTTCTTAGCAAGTTTTCCCGACGTTTCGTCCTCAACCTGGGGACTTCTTCAGGGAATGAATTCTCGGACCGCGCGTTGGAGATTTATAACCTATGGGTGTGGTAAGCCACACCCTAACCCTGATACTAACTCGTAAACAATCTCAGGTCTGCTTGATGTAGAAGGGAGCAGGTCTAACGACCCTGCTGAGGCTAACGACCCTAACTCCTTAGCATGTCACAGACCTATTGTCTGCTGGGATGCTCAAGTGGAGTGCAGGTTTCACCCCTCCTAACTCATTAGCATGTCACTGACCTTGTCCCAAGTTAGGGCGTTGTTTTTAGGATGTCGTCATAGATGCGAGGCAAAACAAATCTTAACCCTCCTCCTCTGTTAAGAGAAGGTTTCTGTTTCCTCACAAAAATGGCTTCTTTCACTCCTCTCTCAAACCAATTCTTCTCCCGAGCCAGAATTTTAACCTCTGTGTCATCCACCGTGTGGTTGGAGGCCTTGAGGTGGAGATGAACAGCCGACTGTGGCCCACTAGAGTTTTCTCTACGATGTTGGTAAAGTCGTTTTTGTAGAGTTTGTTTGGTTTCTCCAATATAGTGGTCAGTGCACTCCTCTTCACTACATTAATGTGGTGTATTCAATTAAATGTAGTGAAGAGGAGTGCACTGACCACTATATTGGAGAAACCAAACAAACTCTACAAAAACGACTTTACCAACATCGTAGAGAAAACTCTAGTGGGCCACAGTCGGCTGTTCATCTCCACCTCAAGGCCTCCAACCACACGGTGGATGACACAGAGGTTAAAATTCTGGCTCGGGAGAAGAATTGGTTTGAGAGAGGAGTGAAAGAAGCCATTTTTGTGAGGAAACAGAAACCTTCTCTTAACAGAGGAGGAGGGTTAAGATTTGTTTTGCCTCGCATCTATGACGACATCCTAAAAACAACGCCCTAACTTGGGACAAGGTCAGTGACATGCTAATGAGTTAGGAGGGGTGAAACCTGCACTCCACTTGAGCATCCCAGCAGACAATAGGTCTGTGACATGCTAAGGAGTTAGGGTCGTTAGCCTCAGCAGGGTCGTTAGACCTGCTCCCTTCTACATCAAGCAGACCTGAGATTGTTTACGAGTTAGTATCAGGGTTAGGGTGTGGCTTACCACACCCATAGGTTATAAATCTCCAACGCGCGGTCCGAGAATTCATTCCCTGAAGAAGTCCCCAGGTTGAGGACGAAACGTCGGGAAAACTTGCTAAGAAGTACAGATGATGGGTGAGAAACCTTCCTTTGCTTTGACTAATCCCTGTACGACTGAGGGCTTACACAAACTTATCTATCTACTAATAAAAATAAAACAAAATCTCTAACTCTAGCATCAATAAAAGTATAAAATCTCTATCTTGAAAATAATAATAAGATAAGTTTTACGTTTGGCAATAAGAGGCAAGTATAAAGTACTGTGTATTCTAGTGCAGGCAAAGTGTAGTTATGTTTTCATTTGTACATTAGCAGCAGTAATAACTTTAATAAGGTCTACATAGAATAAATAGAAAAGTCTAATGTTCCTACCTGCTCCCGCGCTGTACGAGTCGCTGGTCAAGTTGCTCACGACGGTCACGCTGCCGGTCGCGGGCACTTTCTCCAGGCTCCCGTAACAATCCAGCGGGGGCCACGGGTCGGGCTCGGTCTTGAGGAACCCCGTCGGCTCCGCGAATCCCGCAGGAGTGGGGGCCGCGCGCTCGTAAGCCAGGTCCACGCCCGACACGTACTTCTCGGCGTATCTCTTGAGCAGCGAGGAGGCGGTGAGAGCGGAGATGTCGTCGCTGGCCCAGGGGTATCCGGGCGGGGCGTGAAGGCCTCGTCGGGCGGCGGAGAAGGGCTCGTGTTTGAGGGCGGACGGGGGAGACGTGGTGGAGCTGACGTCCAGGTGCTGCTCCGGCCACTGGGCGAGAGACGCGGCGTGCTCCGGGGACCAGTGCATCTTCAACAAGCCTGGACACAGACACACTTCTGTTACGCACTAATAATAATACACTGTGTTTGTCTCGACAGAAAGTAAATCAGACCACACCAAGCTGCCTTCATCTTCTAAGAAAACATTTTGTATACATGTAAGAAAGAGATGTGATCTACAGATGTGACAGAGGCCAGAAAAACATGCATGCGAAAACTAGTGAAAGAACCAAACTGTTTTGAGAGCGAGGAACTAGTTTGATGGATCTGATCACTAGAGTGTACTGGTCTCCCCCGACCCGGACTTAGCCTCCACACAGCCTCAGTCCTCCTTCTACAGCTTGAGTCCTGGATCTACAGCCTGTCCGTCCGTGGGTGTGGATCCCTCTTTGAATAGGGAACTCCCCGAAGTTTCTCCCTTTTTTTTTTACCACAGTTTTTTTTTTTTGGAGTTGTTCCTTGCAGATGCAGGAGGGTCTAAAGACAGTGATCCTGTCCTTAGACCCTTAGTGTCCTTAGTGTCATGCAAACGCTCCATGTGTCCATCATGAAGAACAGACCCGGTGAGACGTGACCCGCAGCTTTTACCGTAAGAAGACTATTTGAGCTGCTGTGACCAGCTCCGCGGGTGGGAGTCTGGTTTGTAAAGCTCTTCGGGTTGCCTGCTTGGGCCCTTCCTGCTTGCGCCGCCTACCAATTTTCATTACTAACTATTTTTTCAATCCTCAATCTATAACGTCAGCAGACAGACCCATTTTCTGCCTTTTGAAGAAGGAATATTACACATTATTTCGGCCCGATATAAAGGATAATTATCATTTTTGTTTGTCATCACAAGTTTTAGAATGTGGGATAATATCTTGCATAGAAAATACGTGGTTAAATAAGCTATCGACCTGTAACTCCCTACACTATCAGCAGAGGGAGGAGTACAATTTATTATTATTTTTTTTTTTTCCCAAATTTGAGAAGCACTGACCGCAATTGCAGTAATGGGACTGGATAATTTGACATGATAAATTACACCCAAAAAGTGAATGAGTAATGATCTGAAAATACAGACGTCATAGTGGTACATGTGGGGCTACCTGAAGTGTTTTTTTTGTTTTTTCGTTCCTTGCCAATGCAGGAGGGTCAAAGCACAGTGAAGATCCGGGAAATTAATGGACCTTTAATAACATTATTAAATGTTACGGACCACTGTTTGTAACACTACGGACAGTGGTCATACTGCTCCCTATGGACCAATGGTTCCTATGTGTTTGAACTGTTTGATTCTCTGATCTGTTCGTAAAGTCCTCGGATTTAGGTCTACACACAGATACATTGAATTGAAATGATAGTCAATCTGCATAATTCTAGAGTATTCGCGTGCAGATTCTGCACTAGATTTTTGCAGTGCATATAGCAGTGCGATATCATTATGTAATTGGCCCACGGTGATGTAACTCTGAGCTTTCCTGTCCGCGGGGCTGCGATGTAACGCCTGCAGCTCTGTGGCCTTAAGCCTCTTTGCCCCGTGTCCATTCTCTCCTCACACTGGGGCCTTTGTTGCGGCTCTTAAGTCCTGAAAACCCCCCCCACCGACCGTGTGATCTGATCCTACCCCCAAAACCACAAGCACAGCACCGCGGGGGGCCAGCAATGCACGATCAAGCCATCACCGCTATCAGACAAGACAATATGTGAAAATAAAAATACTTAAATCTCAATGAGGATGTGAATGACGAGGTTAGATGTAATTGTATATGAGATGTAGATTATTGCACCGGGATGAAAACAAGACTTTAGCCTGAAAGACATTTGATTTGGCTCAAGAGCAAATGGCTTGAATTAAGAATAATGAAGGTGTTACAACAGTTTGGTATCAAAACATGTGACACAATGAGTACGTTTACAAAAAGAAGAACTCAGAGTATGTTCTATTCTGGCACTACTCTATGTCTAGCATTTCATTGACTTATTATCCAAAAATGTAAGATGGAATTGTAAATAACATTTCTATCATGTACTGTATAAACACATCTTTGGCAAAAGTGTGATTACATTTGCTCAAGGCAAAATTGTCACTTTGAGCATGTGATTTTCACAAAACTGCAGCACCAAAAGAAATTTTGTTTCTTTGTTTTGTTAGAAGTTTTGATTTTGCTTCCCTTTGCACAAAACAAAGAAACGTGTGCAGAGGGACCGGGTCTCCTCACACTGATCAAAATGAGGGAGTGGCTTATATGTGTCCAAATACAAACATTTCTAATTTTAGCATGGCTTTTCCCTGCGCTCATAAATGTATCTGCTGGCCTTGTATCAGTAGGATCTGGATTAAGTGATTACATCACATAGTGGAAATGGTTTGATCCATTTTACTTTTTTCTCACCTCAATGGAATTAAATTTAACAATTGCAAATGATCCAATTATTAGGATTATTATCCAAGGATTTATAAACATACTCTGATGGTAAAGCTGTGATGTTTCCCCAGGACTACAGCACTAGAAGTGTATTCAACTCTATGAATCTCATTCAAGTTTATGTTCAACCCAAAATGTGTTTACAATATTGCTGGTTTTCCAATAAAAAAACAGCCATATTGGTCATTGACACTAGATTAGCTGCACATGTCCATAGCGCTGGTATCAAACTTTAGAAGTAGGGCTTGTTGGTTTGACAGTGATTCTGGACATTCTTTCATAAAGTCCAGCCACCATGAGGAAAAACACATACATCTGATTTTTGCTGGTATACTTCTCAGAGGCAGTCGTGAGCTACTCTGCTGCCGGAGAAGCATATGTTTGTATCGAGCATTTGAGTTTCACACGACTTTGAAGCAGCCTTTCATTGACGGACAGGCTGTAAATGAGCCCAGTATAGACACGTATCCATTTTCTGATTCAACTGCTCATGCAATCATCAACTCTAGTAGTTGCTGATATTTTACAACTACACTGCAAATAAATCGGAGCATTTGAGCATTCAAGTATTCGTCCTGATTCAAGCTGTTAGTAATGAGAAATATGCAGGTCTGATGGAAGTAACACTGTACGTGCTTACTACTATGGTGAATCTTATTTCAAGTTAAAATATTCTGAAATATAGATGGATTACTTTTTATTCCATATTAGGGATGTAAAAAACTATGAATTTTCATGACCGACCACCGAGCCTCATTAACCGGTTGAAACCGGTTAACCGCGTAGTTTAAAATAGTCCACGTTCTTTGAAATAACAGCCATTTCGAGCCGCGTACTTTTCATAAGAGCAGCTCTGCGTTCTACTGGATCAGAGCTGAGACAGCGGCGCCCAAACCCGCAACAGCTCCGGCACCTTTGCGCACAGAGAACTGCTTTTTTAATCTTCCCATTCTGCTGTGCTGCGGGTTAATACCAAAACTTTCTAGCAGCAAACGACGGCTCGTTCACATGGTCAGAGCAACGAGTGACGAGCCGCGTCTCACAGGTCTTCACAAAACTTTAAATACAAGTGATGTGTGTGGAGCTGATCCCGAGGACCATAAACACAAACATGTTCCATGTGGTTTGACTGGAGCCGCGTATTTGCGCAAATCCTTTGGGCTCCGTGACACAGAGGAGCGCGACAGACCGGTATGTGTGTGTGTATGTGTGTGTGTATGTATGTGTGTATGTGTGTGTGTATGTGTGTGTGTGTGTATGTGTGTGTGTGTAAATGTAAGCTCCAATGTAGTTCTGACCCGCGCCAGTGTGCAACTAACCCGGTAACAGAGGGGAGAGATGATGCGTGTGGATGTTACGTATGGAGAGGGGGAAAGTGTGTGTGTGTGTGTGTGTATGTGCGCGTGTGCGTGTGTGTGTGTGTGCGCGCGTGTGTGCATATGTGGCTCGTGCGGCGTGAGAGTCGTCCCGGAGTTTATAATACATCAATCAATCAATCAAATTTTATTTATAAAGCGCTTTTCATACAAAAAGTGTAACACAAAGTGCTTTACAGTTTAGTTAAAAACAATCCAACATGCCCAGCCCTAAACCCTCCTCCCCACAGACCCCCCAAAACCACATTTATAATTATATATACAACCACATGCGTATACACACACACACATATACACACACACACACAAGTATAAAGTCATATCAGGTAAAATAGGTAAAACAATAAAAGGAAATGGGGCTGGGAGCAGATGTAACCGGCTGAAGAAGCGTCATCCAAGAAGCCATCTGCACCAGGAGCAGAGAGCCGGCTGCAGCCACAGGGAACGACACAGGACCCAGAGGAGAGAGGGGCCCCAGACCCCACCAGGCCCAGGACTCAGACCCCATAGGACCCAGAGGAGAGAGGAGGCCCCAGACCCCCACCGGATCCAAGAGCCAGACCCCCGAAGCCACAGCAGACCCCAGCTCTCAGTGCAGAGGGCTCCTCCAGAGGAAACACTGGGGACACTAAAACAATACAATAATACAATAGAAAGTAGAACAATAAAAATAAAAATAATAAAAATAAATAAACATAGAATGTGTCTAAAAACATAAATAGATGTACTAAAAAGCAATAATAAATAATAAATACTAATCAAAAGCTACTCTAAAAAGGTGTGTCTTGAGCCTACTCTTAAAAATATGAATGTTCTCTGCGGCCCTGAGCTCCTCCGGCAGACTGCTCCAGAGACGGGGGCCGTAGTGCTGGAAAGATGCCTCGCCGTGAGTGTGTGTCCTGACTTTGGGGATGGTTAGGAGTCTGCTGCCGGAGGAGCGCAGGGGCCGGGAAGGTTCATAGGATAAAAGCAAATCTGAAAGATAAGAAGGCCCAAGACCATTAAGACATTTAAAAACCATTAAAAGAACCTTAAAATCGATCCTGAAACACACGGGGAGCCAGTGCAGCGATTTTAAAACCGCACATGGGCGCACACAGCTAGATACGGACCCGCTCGTCACACCGTGCAAATAGGGCTTAAAATAGCGTTTTTAAGAGACCTCCCCTCTCCCCTTTTTCTCTTTTTTAACCGACAGCTTTGACCGGTTAACGCTGTGACGGTCAACCACCGGTTAAACGGTC